GAAGTGCCTTTATGTATTCTGTGTATGTAGGTATAGTTAGGAGATAGTGATAATGTCCTAGAGGCTTTCCTGGTATGCTGGCAACTTTTCTTCCTGTGCTTTTTCAGTTGGCTCCTAGCACGACTTGTGGGCCAAATGGTTGATAAGAGAAGGTTTCTTATCCTAATCTTCCTTTTTTTCAGAAAAATTACAGCTGTGATGGAAGTATTACTTAAGATGGGGATTTGACTTGAAAAGGGATCAGCCAGGCATCTGGTCGGTTACTGGTATAGGTTGAGCTATGCAGGTATCAACAGTATGGAGGAGAGGTTAGTGAACATTTGCTGAGGCAAATTATGGAGGTCCTAGACAGGAATAAAAACAGAGACAATGAGTGAAAGGAGAAGCTGGCAGGTTTTCAAATATTTGTGTAAACCGTAGTACAGGTTTTTTTCATATGGAAATATTAACTTGGACTTGGTTTCTGTCCCCCGTCCTTAAGAGTGTTCAGGCAGAGCAGTCTTTCATATTGGTTAGCTGTCAATAAGAATTAGTTACAAAGGAAGTGTTATGGCAAGTAATTTCCTTTTTTTGTTTCTAAGGTCTCTGCTTTTTTGCTCATTGAATTTTCTAGTTCTTTCACACATATGGACTAACAAAATTCACTGTGTTCCAGGTTTTTAGAATGTCAGAATTCTAGCGACAAGTTAAATTTAAAGATTGTGCATTATTTCAATACTTTGTGTTTACTTTCTGCCATATAACTTTCCTTTCATACCTAATTCAAGAGTGCATTTCACTACTTCCATGTTCACCAAATCATAACCACACGAAGAGGTTATTCACCACTTAGGAATGAAAGTCCATCTGTTAGTTATTATCTTGGCTGTGCTGCAGCACTTCAGAAGAGTGCTTGGGAGAGACTTTTAAGTGCCCTACCCAGTCTTTGCTGTCTTCTAGGCAAATGCAGATACCTAGGAAATGCTACCAAAAAAAAATCTTCATTCTTCCCATAAGTTAGCAGAAGTTTGATTGTGGATTTTTAGAACTAGGCCCAAAATAGATAGCATGATTCATTGTATCTGAATTATGCCAAGTAAATACCTCGATGTTTCCACTGAGTTGTCGGATGAAAAATCATCTTTGTTTAAAATAAGTGTGAGGGTTTTAGTTGATCTCTCTCATAGGAAAATTACCAACATCATTATACAAATATGCATTTTAGTAATATTTACAATTATTTAGATGGTTAAAACGTGTTTGTTCTCTTTTTAATGTCTGTAAGACTAAACTAAAGATGTTTACAATTTATCTTTAATTCCAGATTGCAAATTTTTCTTTATTATTATGAAAATCAAAGTTCCTGTAGATGACATTCAGGAAAACCTGATCAGCAGGGAATTTCCTGCTGTCTGAATTTGTGGAGACAAGTTATGCCACTGCGATGATAGCCACAGGCTCCATTTGAGGGGAGCTTGTTGTGATGTAGTGACCTAATACGGCATTCTTGCCTGTGGGAGACAGATTAGGAGACTGAATTTTTGAATTCCTGGAAGGTGGTGGAATAACTGTAGATAGTGAAACTGTCCTTTGCAGAAACTCATAGATGCTATCAGAAGTGCAAAGCCACATTAATTTCAGTGTTTTGTGAAAGGTAACAAAGCCATTTGTAGAGCAGTTGTAACGACTTATATAGGAACTGATGTGGCATTGCTGAATCTTGTTAAATTTTCTCAATTGTCACAATTTTTGTAGGGTTCTAAACTGCCTGCTGGCAGACAAATTTCATTTAATTTTTGTCCTTTTAAAAAGCAGTTACTGTTATTTCATTCCAATTAAAATCGAAAGTTGTTGTCTGCCAAGATTGTCTCTTTGTGGTCCTTATAAATGAAGTAATCTTATTATAGGAAGAAATCCAGGCCTATTTCTTGCTTTGTGACATGGGCATAAAGCCTAGCTTGGGGCAGGAAAATAATCAGGAAAGTGTATTATTAGGTGGTGGATGTTGAACAAGGAGGCTGAGGGAATGTATGGAAGGGAGAGAGAAAATATGTGGAAAGTAATACAGGGGAGGAAATAAGATTGAGAGGGAATGGTGCAAAGGCAGGTCCCACTGAATACAGAGATCAGGAAGCAGTAGTGCAGTCTATTTGTATGAGCTGGGCAGTGGGAGAAAAGAGAAAGCAGGAGGAGGATTTAAAAGAAAGATGTGAAGATCAGGTGTTACGGCAGTGGTTCTGTCAAGGTGGTAATTTCATTTGAAGCCAGGTTTATCTTCAAATCCATCCTATTACGAAGGGTTGAAAGAACTTGTTACAATGACAGTCTCAGTTAAGTTGGTTCTTGCAGCTGGCCCTGGAGTGTGGGAGAAACTTATGCTGGTTGTCATTCATTTTACTGGGCTGTTGCTTGAAATGCATGGTGAAGGAAGGGCCTGAAGAAGGTTGCAGCTCGTTATGGGTTCTTACTGAGCAGGCTACGCAGGAAAAGTAGGTAAAAATGGTGATAAAAGAATATCTGGTAATAACTGTTTACCAGGTTCTCCCTGCTCCATCTCCTACCTGTGGTGAGACCACTTCCTTGCAAATACACAGGAGGACCTGCATTCCAGTGTTACCCTGCAACCTTAGCTCGTGTTACCCTGCAACCTCAGCTCATCCCAGTGAATGATCAATACAGAAAGTTACAAGACTTGTAAAAATGCCATTCTACTCCATTTTTTTCTCCAAACAGGTCTAGCCTTTCATAAGTAAAAATTGAAACTATGTGTGTGTATAGGCTGCTGGAAAAGTCTTACAGGGCAGTCGTCTTTTGCCTGCAAGTCTGTGTTGTTCGCCCTCTGATGTATGACTTTGTTCTAGTTCTGGTATAAAATCGGGAAGGTTTCTGTCACAACGCAGTCTTTCACAGAGAACCTGAAAAATGGGTCTTGCTCAGGAGTCATCCTATGTGTTAGACTTTGGGATTGAGTGACAAGTATTACTAGTTTTCTTTTGAGACCTCCTAGGCACGCACAGTCAAGGAGAAGGTTGGCAGGTAGATTAGCAGGAAACCTCAATTTGTATTTGTGTATAAAGTAGGGAATGTGGTAGACTGAGGAGTTTTGGATAGCATAGACAATAAAAGCAAAGTTTAAAAATGAGAAGCATTGAGCTCCTTTGTTATATTCTCCCTGAAGTTTACAGCCCACATTATGCGCTAAAAATTTAGCTGTTTTCTCTGTCACTGTCAACCAATAAAATTTACTTTTAAACTGAAAAAGATAAAGCTCTGACTCAGTGATGTAACACTTCAGTAATTTACTATCATAAAATAGTTTTAAGTAGAAATGTTTTATCTTATGCCAAGCTGGACGCTAAAGATGTTTTGTCTAAAACATGAGATAATGGAAAGTGTATTGTGGCATGTGAATTACTTTAGCCTCTTGGTGGTAAATGTTTGCTTAACCAGAAAAGAATGTGTTGAGGTCCTTGCCAAAGGAAAGGTATTGCTATACTATGCATTTAGAGTACTGTAAATAAAGTAGTAAATATGTTTCTGTTCATGTGTGTTAATCCACAAGTTATGAATGCATTCATTCAATAAGAAAGGCAATATACTGTTATCCCTCTTAAAGGTTTTCAGTAAGAAGAGGTCATAATTACTTTGGGTTGAGAGAAACATGAAACCAAATATTTTCATGATGATTGAAGTTGAATATGAGAGAGAAATAGTTTTTGCTCAAAGTAAGTTTCCCTTAAATCCCAAGAACTCAAATCCTGTTTTACCTTCAATATTCTTGTGTGCTGACTCCCCTGATGTACTGTTCTTAATCACACATTACTGTAAATCATAAATTTTATCATTTCCTTCACCCATCCAGTGTTGGTTTTGGCAAAAGAAAACCCAACTGTGTAATATGTTAATGATCAGAGGATGTAGAGCAGCTATGGGAAATAATCCATTTTTTGCCTACAGTATATTTTGGTTTTGAACTTCATTTGCCTTCAACTGATAAAATAGCTTAGTAGTAATTTAATAATGCTGATTACAGAAAGAATTGCATATCTTGGATTGCAGTGTAATAATATCAGAGCATCTGTTGGATGCTGTAGTTAGAGCAAATGAAAGCAACAGGATTTCTCTTTCAGGGGCCTTTGAAATATCCCTTCCTTTCCCCAGAATCCCACATCCATGTTTCCAGTTAAAGATTTGGGAGAGAATATTATAGTTCTAGGAAATAATTGTGGAGAAGATGCTCAATTTCTTTTTATTACTGTGCATTGTTACTTACCTGGCTTCACGCTCCAGGGTAAAGAGGAGCCCTTTTCTGGGAAAGGACTGCTTATCTGAGTCATGAGCCTCTTGTAGCATACACACACACATAGGGATTTCTACAGGGGTTTCTTGCAGATGGTGCTGTTAGCAGAAATTTGCCTAGGCATAAATGGGGGTGTTGTACCATCTTTTAGAAATTATTGCCCCAGTGTTCTGAGTATGAGAGCTCTTACTTCTACAAAGGCAAAGCTCTGAGTGCTTTCACTATACCTTCACTTTAGTAGTTGTCCAGATGTGCTTTTTATTTCATCTTCCCAGTACTTCACTGATAATTTAGAAGCAAACAGGATAAATAAGGTACATTACTAACCATGTAAATTAAACTTGTAGTGTTAAAGCCCATAAATGGAACATTAAGTCTTATTTTTAATTTAGAATTAGACTTTGGTAAATATATCCATTTTGATCACCCTATGTCTGCATCCAGTTTTGGTAAAGATACTCATTAAGAGCTCATAAAATATTTCAGTCCGTAGAGAAATCTGACTTTGATTCTCTTGTTCTTATACCTAGATGTTAGGAGGGTTTAAGAAAGACTGGATATGTAATTTGAATCATAAAATAGGTCTTCTGAACATGATAGAAACTGAAAATCCTGAGAATTGCCAAAAAAGTGTTTGTTTTATTTTGTTTTTTTCCAGAAAGTGTACATTATGTCTGTGGTAGTATTAAAATTTATTATAAACTTCCCTGTTATTTTTAAGGTACAATGAACTGGATGCCAGTAGAAGCCTCTTAGATAATTTGAAAGGCAAAGTAATAATTGAGTATCCAACGTTATTTGTGGTCTTGAAAACACTGAAGAATGACATGGTGGTTCTTGGCCAAGGTAAGCATATATTTATTTCCTGTTATGCTATACGTGTCTATTTTAGTTAAATAAACAATAATTAAGGATACACCTATTAAAAATACCAGGAATGTGCAGTATGTCTTGTATTTCCCTCTGGATATAAAAGACGTCTATGAAAAAGCTGTTGTGAATGATCTGTCTTAAAACTGCTGGCTGATGGCTTACATCCATAAGCTGTATTGTACGTGTTTTTCATAACTTTGTTTACTGGTGCTTGGTTCTTTTTTTACGTATATTTTTGGCCATTAAGTAAAAACAACTCTTCAGACTTGTGCTAAATTTTGTATGTAGCAGAGTTAGTTATTTCTAAAAGGTCAGGCTGTCTGGGGAAGATGAGTTTTAAGTAAGCATGCTAATCATACAAAGGAATCATTCCTCATTATTTCCCAGCATACTCCTAACACTGGACAAATAATGCTGAATTACACGATAGTTATTAGAAATCATGATGGCAAAGTAATTGATCAGGTGGGTTAAAAGCAGGATGTTATCTTTCAAAAAGTATTTAGTTGAGAGAAGACTTTAATTGTGAAGTTGACTTAGAGGAGAGTCCAGGTCTAGCAGACATTTGTATTTTATTTTTGAAGTTAATGTCCATATTTCTCCCCAGTATAAGGGCTTTGTGTTCCAGTTTAGCTTTCTGCAACTGCTGATAGAGAGAACCAGTTCCCTTGTCTCTTAGTCACCCAGCTTGTCACTTTATTTATCAAACTCCGTACTTTTCAGTGACAGACCAGTGTGTAATTTTTACAGATTTCTGAGGAAAAGCTTTGAAAAATGTTTGCAATGGCTGTTTCTCTGCAGCAACTTAATCATGGCTCTGTGGGTACATAATTTGACTGAATAAATAGGAGACTGAGATTATTGTACCAGTGATCCCAGACTTCCATGGATCTTGGCTGTTCTGGCTAGGTGACACTAAGTGATCCATTGGAGCAATCTGCTCTCAAAGAAATGGCATGCAAATATTTCTTGCAGTATGTACTGCAAGAGCTCAGAGAGTGAGACACCATGCCAGGAGATGAGTCTTCCCTGAGTGCCTAGGGCCATTGATACTCTCCCTGGGATTGTACGTACATATACTGGAGTACAAAGAAACTAGATGTTTTCATTTTATCCGTTATTTCTTGATCTAGGTCCCTTGCTTTTCAGTAGTAGGTATAGATTCAAATAAGTGTTGATTGTCCAGCTATATTTGAGCTTGTGCTGCAACAGCAACTAGCTGATTCTGTAAAAGGCAGAGTAGAAGGGCAAGGGGAAGAGAGAGTTGGTAATAGCTGGGGAAGTGCTGACAGCTCTGTTAAAGGGCAGCACAAGTGTGTGTGTCTTTAGGATGGTGACCCTCCTGTGCTGCAGGGATCATTCAGTTAGCAGTTATCCCTGAAGCTGGTATTCAGGAAACACTGGCAGCTATTTCAGGTTTAGGGAACCATTAATTTTCTTCAGGTTTTTTTAACCGTTTCTGTAGTTTCCATAAAAATCAAGTGCACAACTCTCTGTTGAGGTGTCCTGAGTACAACATAGCAAAAGCTTATAGCTAATGGGAAAAAAAAATAATATTATTTTCACAATTTATCTCGAAGTTTATTCTTGTACATCTTTTTAGTTAACATATTAATAGAACTTCAGCCCTCAGTTTGGTTTGGACCCTGTGTTCTTGGAGCTTTTTCTGTTACGAGTGGAAACCTGCCACAGTAACCCCAGATTCTTTCAGAAAAAGCATGTTCAGAACATGAATATATAAATATGAGGACTTTTTTTCTGCAGTTATTCTGCTTGAAGACAAAATAGCACTTTTGTTGAAGTATGGCACATCATGTACTCTTCTGTTGTGTGTCATCTTACAGAATAAAGGAGAAAAAAAACAGTATTTAGTTTGCTTTACCAGTTGCATTCACAGATAATTGCTAAGAGTGGAAATCATGGGTTCGCCTCCAGACTCTCCAGGGAGAAGTCTGTTGTAATTAGAGAGGTGCTTTAGCCCACTCCCATCTCCCAAGAGGTGATCTTTCTGCTGAGGCATCTTGTGTGTTACTTGCAGTCCAGTTTCTTCAACACGTGTGGCTTTTTGTATCAGTTGCACACTTCCAAGCCATCCATCCTGCTCTGGCTTACCCTATCTCTGCCAATGCTGCCTTTCCTTTCTGCCTTCCTCCTGCATGTGCACTGGCAGGGACAGTTGTCTTGGAGTGCCTGTCCAACTGACCCCTTGGCATTCCGGGCAAACAGCTGCTGCATTGATGAGTGGATGTCTGGCAGGGTGTCTGCTGGACTGCAGGGGCTTCAACTACCATAGCCCTCCAGGGTCTGTTTTCAAAGAGCCCAGGCTGGGAAAAGAAGCAAAGTTTTGTGGGAATATAACTGCCAAAATGACGCTTCTTTACAGAGCAATCTCAGCTCAACCCCCTTCCCCAGGAGGAACAGAGGCAAGTTTTCATAGCCACAGCAACAGGCATGTGCTGGGGAAAGGTCACTGTTCCCCTTGTGATTCAAGTGGCTCCCCCCAAAGACTGGGGGAGAGCTAGAGCTAGACGCCTTCTAAGAGAGACTGCTAGAATTTAATGAGGACAAAGCCTGTTTCTCCTGTCCTTGTTCTCAGACATGGCTGAAGTATTTTGACTGAAAGCTTAAAAAAAATAAGGAAAATAAGGTTTGAGGAAGGAAACTGGCACTGAAAATTTTAAACCCATTTTACATAAGTAAAATTTTACATTATAAGTAAACTGCAGACAGTTTTATGGTGGAAAGGACTGGGCAATATTTATTATATAGGGAATGCTATCAACACTGTAAAAATATGTTATTTTGAGTGACGACAATCTAGAATTCCTGTTAAATACAACTTAACTGTAACAGACTAAACCTAAAATTTGTTGAGCTTCACTGTGAGTCAGAAGATTGCCACATTCTTTTATGTGATGTTTTGATGCTTGACTTGCTTACAGCAAAAACTACAGGTGCTCTGATTTCAGCATACAAGGTCAGTCATGGCTGAAGATAGTAGGGGATTATAGAAGTTTTCACAGGACTTAGGGGCAAAAACAATCCTTACTTTGTGCATTACTCAGTACATATCTGGCATATAAATGTTAATTGATTATACACTAGATTTAATGTAGACAAAATGTGACCTCCAATGTTTCTGGGTGAAATGCTTCTATTTTCTTGAACAAATTCCATTGAAACTGTACAGGTGCACACTGTGTCCTATGTACTATTCATGTTTGCCAGCTGTAGACCTTATCTTGACAGTAACTATACTTCATCAGCTCCCTATCGGTAACATTTTCTTAATGAAGCATCTGAAACTAAATGCTCAAAAACTTCTTTAAATTCATAGTTGGATCAAATACTGAAAATAACAATGAGAGCAGAGTGTGTGCAAATCATGGGCTGACTGGCTGAGTTTGTAGTTTGTTTTTGTGCTGCCTGAGTGCCACCAACCAGTGGCATTTGGTGACCTCACCACAAGGTGAGCGGGGTCAGTGCTTGTTAAAGGAGTCTGAGAGTGGGTGGCTGAAAACCAGTTTGGGAAATGAGTACTTCACGATACAATCTTGGCAAAGCACAACAGCCATGTCCTAAAGCACGAGTTGCTGTGCAGCTTTAACCTCATCAGCCTTAGCTCATGGATTCACACAGATTAGCACCATGTTTAGGGTGCTGGAACATGTGGAAGGAGCAAGGTGCGTCATCTTAATTTCCCGTTTCCACTGAGAATTTCTTAATAGTTCCCCATCTTAACTGAAATGCTAATAAAAGTGTAAATGATTTGTAATTCTTTAGTTACAATATATGTATATAGTAACCCAAAACCCAACATTTAAAACAAGCCAAGAGAACAATTTTAAATTCTCAGTGGATGAAGAGGAAGAGTTTTGTGTGGGATAAATACTCTGCTTACCTACTTGACTTTAAGACCAATATTTAAAAGCTGGAAGAAATTCTCACCTTTGTCGTGCTTTCTCCTTCAACAAGGACCTACCTAGGGCTTTATCCCATGTTATGACACTGGTTGTCTCGTGAAATAGCTGTCCTCAGGAAAGTGTGATTAAAAGGAAAAGAAGATACAAAGCTGCCTCTGATAAAGAAACAATATTGCTGAAACTAATTGCTTGTTTGGTTTTTGTGTCCTACACCCTCAGATGCCAGTGAACCTGCAGAGAACTCGGACAGTGAAAGTTCATCCCTTTCATCTATGGAAGAAGGGGAAATTCGGGACAGTTCATGACAGTTCTTTGAGAGAAGAGGGTGGAATGAGCATTTTATACTTTTATTATTATTATTTAATATAATCTGTATACAGTAGAGTTCTCAGAAGTTTGGTTTGGCTTCCTTCACTAAAAGCAGCACTTCCAAAGTGCCTGCCTATTTTTGGATTTAGTAATGCATATTTAGGGATGTAAATAAAGAGATTGCTGGTTCCAGAAAAACGTGGTATTCTTATTTAATTGCACCCTTTTTTTCCATGTATCTTTAATAAATCAGAGCAACACAAATTCAAAGTTTCCAAGTTAGCTTCAACAATATATTTTTTCCTTTTGTCCTAACACCTCAGTTTCTGATTTCTGAGTTTAAATATCTGATTGCATATTTATATATGGATTTGAGTCTTAATGCTTAAACTTACTAAAAAAAAACCCACTGGTGTTTCATTAGATTAATTTTCTTTTAGGGTGTTCTGTTGTCATGCTGAGCTGCTGCAAATGATCTTACTTTACTTCTGACTTTAATCTTCTGTGGTGACATTTTGGGTGCTTGGTGCAATACATTTTTTTTTTTCTTACTTAGTTGCATCTTGTTTAATGTGTTAAGGACAGGTCAAACCATGTTTTCAGAGTGGCATGTTGCTGTATGTTTAACCTTCTACCGTGATCTTCTAATTTAGCATGGGTTTTAAAATCAATAGAAATTGATACATAGAGTGTCACTAGTGCTAGTATCTTGGACTTCTAAACAACGGTTGTTATGCATCTCATATAACTAGTTTACCAACTGAAGCCAGGTATTGTAAATATTTACTGGAATATCAACTAAATTTACCTTAAATTTACTTTAAAACAAATAAACCTTTTTTAAAAGTCCTGTACTATATCATCTGCTGACAATAGAAATCTGTTGTTAACTTCTGGGAAGATTTCTGTATCCCAGACCGCCTACCACTGTATTCGTGGGGTCGAACTGTGCACTGCAGGCTGTGTGAGGCAGGTGGGCACCTCTGCATGCTTGCACTGGGGAGTTCTCGGGAATCAGCACAGGCAGTGTTGGGTTAGTTTGCAGAGGTCTAGCTAAGTGAGCATCTGTAAAGTCTTAAGGACATGATCACTTTGTAAACAGCTCTGTGAGGTTGTTGCTGCCATTGTTCTTATCCCAGTCTGTTTGCCTCTGCTTGAAACCAACACCTTTGTGACACAAGTTGGTGGCATGGGATGCACACCAAGCTGCCATGAAGGTGATTTTTCAGTCCTGAGTCGGCTTCCTGACGCTGCCGGCATTATAGGTGGAAAGACACAGAAAGTAGTGACAGAACTTTTTGAGGTAACAGGAGGCTGTAGCAGCAATATGGGAGAGGGATCAAACTTCCAGACTCTCAGTCCAGGCTTCAGGGCACAGGGCTGTCAGTTCCTTACCAGTCATGCTGTGGGGAGAGGATTTTGAGATGGTTTAGAAGTTACTTTTTTTTCACACCTTTGCAAATAAATGGTCATTAGAAAATTGTTTGCTGTGACATCTAGCTACTGAAGTTCGGAAAGAGTGTCAGACCTTTGTAGTCACATACTACTTTTTCTCACAGTGGTATCACATGTCCTTTTCCTTGTGTGTTTTGCAATCCCTGGTAAAACAGGGAAGTTTTTCTTCTTGCCTGGCAGTAGCCACCTGTGCTTTATTTTCTTTTTTAGTCATTGTTGGTCCTCTGCCCACCTCTTGTTTCAGTGTTTGTTTTTTTAACCCTTTTTAAAGGACCAGGATTCCTCACTATAGGTGCTGCTTTCATATTTTTTCAGTTCAGTGAAAATGAATAAGCTTTTCCTAATCAGTGATTACTACATGCTGACTTGGTAGCCACAAATTACTTTAAACCAGTCTTGAACTCGTTCATAATAACACCGATAAAAGAGCAGAACAGCAAAACTGCCACAGTTCATTTGCCAGAAAATGTTTCATCTGGAGTAAAAGCGTGGCATTTCTGTTAAGATTCATAGCACACAGTGGAAATGAGTTCTGCAAATACTAGTGTTGATCTGCATGTGTCTGTTATTAGTCTTTGGCTGAGGAACGCAGATTTGTAATTTGCATTACTTTCCTACACTCTTGGAGGTTTTCATTAATTGTGTGAAAGGACTTGCCTGTGGTGGTTTTTTTCTATAAATATAGTTTAAACTTCCTTGTAAGTCAAATGCAACCATTATTTGTTTTTAAATGAAGATGCTGTTAAATCTATCCTTCACGTTTAAATTTTTTCCTACCATAAAGAAGGTTTTTAAAAAATTATTAAGTAGCAGTCCTGTGGTGGTTACTAGAACTGAAATTTCCCAAAGCTGGGAATCATCTTCCAGAGTTGAATCAAATTGAGAGTTAAAGGCCTTGGTAGCATTTGCCATTCATTCCCAGGTTACTATTTACCTATTTTTATTTAGATTTGATAACAGTTACACTAGTTTGAACGGTGGTGAGTCAAATGCAAGCCAAGATGAAATTCAATTATTTTTATTCAGTTTTGCTAAACGTTTTCAATTTTTGTTCATAAAAATTAGTTAAAATGATGGTCTCTGATTAAAAGCACAGCCTTACTGATCACAGGTGACCAGTGCAGGTCCTGCAACAGTGGTAATTCCAGTACTAATAAGGTTACTGTTTTAATTAAAGTTTATGCACTTTGGCTGGGCAGATGGTTTTTAACACTTTCGTAGGCAGTTAGGGGAAGTTTTTAATTCCTGAGTGACTTAACCCAAAACGAGCATCTTGTAATAAAATGAAGAGTGAAAATGCATCTTTAAAAGCTGTATTATAAAATTTCTCTTCCAACACTTGAAATTTAAGACACGGAGTTAAGGCTGCACGGAAGACTTTAGGTCTGTCCATTTTGTAATCATTATATGAGGATCCCTACAGGATTCTGCCTTGTTTTAGCACAGATGATGTCTGTGAATTAAAATTGTGATGCTGTTCTCATATTCATTCAACACCTGCTTGCATTGAGGGCTTGATTTTATGCCTACTACACATTTATTTTTGTCTGTAAACTACTTGTCACAGAAGGAACAAGCTATTACAGCATTTCTTTTAATGTTTAGACTTTCCAGGTTTCAAACCCTCACAGCATGCTTGAGCTAAAGGACCATCAGCTTACAAAGCAAAGAGTAAAGGCTTTTGTCATGAATGAACACACTACTTAAAAAAATTAAAAGCTTAATGAAGTCATCCCTTTCATGAGCCATAAAGAACAAAAATACAGCATAGCTAAGCGCATAGGAATAGCTGAGAGTAGGACTGAGTCAGCCATATGAGAGAACTTGGTTGTTCTCCTTTTTTGTGTAACTTCCTAGGGGTATGAGGCATAAGATACTGAGCTATCCTGGATAAACAATGTTATACCCCCTGTCAGTGTAACAACTAAGTTTTGAATGAACACATCTGAATTCTAGGTTTTACTGTAATTATCTCTGCATTGGGAATTGTTGATCCGTAGAGGAAGAGAGGGTCATGCCTCAAGATGTGTGGTTGTGCTAGGTCTTAGAGGCATGCTGGACTCATGTTCCTTCTGTTAAACAGTGCAGTTTTACTTTGCATTAGGAGTAAAACTGTTTGTCGTGCAGAGCATGTACTCTCATCTAAAAAAATTGCATAGATTTCCAAGTTCACCGGAGCGCTGAGAGCAAGTTCCACCTATGTGTTGTGTATAAGCACGGCTGTGATTCAGACCTTGCACTGCCAGTTATGGCTGTTCTCTATTGACATCTGTAGGAACTGAGAATGTATAACACCTTACAAGAGCAGGCTTTCAGAGAGTAAATACAGAGCTGTGATGATGTAACTTCAGGCCATATTTGGTCACAAACACTTCATTTTGCTTTCTGAAGTCCCACACTCTTTTCCTGAAAATATTTATTCTTCCTCCCTCCAAAGGAAAAAATATCTTGAATTTGTGTTTATGTTGTTGCTATGACATCAGTTAAAACGGTATGCAGATGCAGGTTCTGTTAATAAGACAAAAAAAAAAAAGCCCTGTGTATTTCAGTGAACAAAGATTACCCTGTGTTTGTATTAAAATGTTGCTATGGCAGTGCATATGGTTTTATTTGGTGGAAATTTGTGATGAAGGAAGTCACATGTATGCAAGACAAACAAGAAATGGCAGCAAAACCAACTTGAAATAAATACTGAAACTGAAAGGGAAGTTGCAGATGACATGTAAAACCAGGAAAAACAAGGATAGTTGTTTTGCTGCCTGTCTGTGATTTGATAACAGAAATGTGTTCCCACTGTGTCCTGCTGGGTCTCAAGTCACCCATCGGACAGTGACTTAGCTCTAACAATGTTTCCATTGCAAGAGCTTCTTTCCCTCCTTGGCTCTGTGCATTTTAACATTTTTTTGTTTTGGAAGCAAAGTTCCACTGGCTTGGCCTGATTTCACCATGGCTAACTTTCCCTGATGAAAAGCATTTCCAGGCTATCTTACTGTAGTAGGCTTTTTGGCAGGAAAAAACAATATAGTGCTAAAATATGGAAAGCCACTAGAGCCTTGCCTACCTTTGGGGCAAGGGGAAGTCTTTGTGGATTTACTGGCTGCTATTAGTGATAGAAACAGTGAGGTTTTGTTTTGTTTGTTTTTTTAAACTGGCACAGTAGTCTTCATATTTATCTAATCCTTTTGCGTGAGGCTTCTTTTTGCATCAGTTGCGTCAGTACAGCTGTTTGCGGGGTTGCATAACAAATCAGAATGGGTTAAAAATAATCTGCCAAAGCAGCAGGGATAAAAAATGAGAGAGGAGACAGAGTCTTGATTTAGAGAACAAATTAGAACGCTGGGAGCTGGCTGGCTTCTGCAGGATCCCGGGTGGTGGAGAAAGCAAAAGTGGTTTTAAAATCACATTGCTGCTTTCTTCCTATCATCCCAGTTCTGCTTCAAGAAGGAGGAAGAAGTGACTGTGAAAGCTGCTATTGCCTTTCCATTCCTTGCTGCCTTTTCTACTCAATCCTCTTGTAGCCCCAGAACTTGTCCATTTTGCCAAGAGTTCCAATAGGGAGTAAAGATATGCCCAAGTGAGGTAAAAACGAAGTTGGTGTATGAGGTGTAGATATGCAGGAAAAAGAGAAATGGGTGGTGTTAAAATCTTGCCCGAGAAGTCCCCAGCACTTTCCTATCTAAACTTTTCAGTGGTATCTCTTTGTTGATCTTTTTTCCTACCTCTGCTTTCAGCTGTGCTTGGGCATGCATATTGATTTTAATGGGGTTGTTCCACTACAGCACAAGTATGTGCTTCTGTAGAGTAAAATATGTTTTCCTGGTTTAAGTTCTCCTTAACAGACTTGCTGGTTTTATGGCACAACATCTTGATGTCTGATTTTGTCAAATTCATGAACTAATTAGGATCTAACCTGGTTGGTTTGAGATGCTGAAGGAAATCTGTAGCTTCAGAGAAGCTGGTGTTTGACTCAGTCAATATACCAGGTTTCTTTTGATCTGGTGTTCAACCAGGGTTCTCAAAATATTGCTGGACTACACTGCCGACTGTTTAGCTGATCTTATAATGGAGTTCCTTCATTCTTACTGAAACACCATTCATCATGACATTAGGCTGTTAGTGTATGTATCCAAGCTAGATTCCAGTCTGGCAAATCTATGCACCCTACCTTTAAATTTTTTTGCCTCGTAAATGACAACCTTACAAAATTTAGTGTAATCTTTTCTTCCTGGACAGTTGCTACATTCCATGCCGTAAGTGGTTGTATTTCAAGACAAATGAAGTTGCTTATGTGAATGGTGCTTTGGGGTCTTTCAAGAACTTCTCCAATATAAATTGTGTATGTAGAAGTCATAGCTCTAGTTTTTCTGGGGGAAAAAAAAATCATAGCATACCAGATACCATCTATTCATTTTCTTGGTGTTTGGTCTTTACAGGATAATACAGACAGATGCTTATTGTATCATTTTGTTGTTGAAGTAGTCTTTTACAGAATTTATATTTTCTAGACTCCAAATCTCGCTGCAGTTCAGTTGGTCACAAGCTGAAATGCGTTTATAGGTATCTCCAAAGCTAGCTGCTTTCACCGTGGTACCTCCACATTTCTATGTGCTATTTTATTACATGGCTTTGTAACGTGGACAAAAAAAAAACATGAAGATGAAAACAAGGACATGTCAGGATGAAAAAACAGGCTTGAGGCAGAGAAGCCAGTAAAACTACCCAACCTTCCCTTGCAGCGTGCTGAGCACTCTGGGCACTGCATGGAAATAGTTCCACTGATTAAACAGGAGTAAACTAAAATGCACATGTGCATCAAACTGCTTTTCTGCAGGATTAGCTCAGAAGGGCAAGCGTCTGGCAAGAGCAAGCCTCTGCTGTGACACATTTAACTGCTTTTGTGTAGGTAGGTAACTTTGACTTCCAACTCCTAATGACATCCCACTGCACACTTTGTTTCAGTCCTCAAGACCTGGGGGGGATTTATTCACTTTCAGTGGGCTGTGAGCACTGGAAATCCTCCCATGGCAGCCCCACTGATCCACAGTGTCTCTGCCTGTTCCTGCGCAGCCCACTGGCTTCCCACCAGTAGTGGGGAGATGGGCCTGTTTCCCACATGTCCACTGGAGGGTCAGGCAGCCCTGTGGGCTCTGCAGTAATTTATATATGGAGTGTAGAGGTTCTCAGGGCTCAGCGAGGGTTAATTTATATCTTGGCTGTCCCACTGTCGGTAAGATGTTAGCTTTTCCTCCATCTGCTGCTCATTCAGGAGAGTGAGCTAGCAGCATCCCATGAGAGGATTTAATGTAATCATGCAAGTCTGTTTTCTGCATATTCCTGCTTTTATTTTGTTTCCTGTGATGCAGCACTGAAGGAAGCAGAAACTGTGTCTTCACTGTGTCACCTTCATTAGTAGGGAATATTTTATATATAATCCTGATATTATAGTGGCTTCCACCGTCAAACCCTTATAAGTGCGTGCATTGAATACAAGACTACATATTCCTTCGGTCCTGAAGTGTAGTTTGACAAATGCTCCTTTTGGCGGCAGCACCAGATTCATCAAACTGCCCCGTGCCACCACTCACCATCCTCGGGTGACCCCAGCACTTGCACCCGGACAGCTGGGTGGGGGGCTGGCGTGACAGATTGGAGCCACTTAAAAATAAACACACAAAGGACCAGGGTCAGACATGAGAGGGGAGAGGTGGGACGGCTGAAGCAGAGGCTGCTGCAGAGAGGACAGTGCTGAAACATGAGCCCACAGGCTTCGGCGGTGCTGCTGGCCCTTCTGGGGTGCCAGGGCTCCCCAGAGAAGCGTGGGGGTCTCCTGGGGTCTCCCTGCTGAGAGGAGCTTCACAGGGCACAGGTGGCTTTATTTTCAGGGTTTGAACTGCTTGATGGCCTGGCATTGAAATGTGCTCACATCTTACTGCTTTCTGTCATGTACGTTATCTATGATGTTCCTAACTCTGCATCTGTTAGTATTCACCTTGAAGAAAGATACTGATATCTTAGTTTTTGACCAAGAAATAAAATCATAGTTGTGCTCGTTAACCTTACCTGTAAGCCCTGCTCATCACACTTAAAGGAACCTGTGCTTTTATCACTTACATTTCCATGCCTAGTATTTTGGGGTTTTTTTCTGCTGGAACAACAGATATAAAGATTTCAAAGCGAGTGCAAAGATGATACACAAAAAATTACACTGATTCCTTTTATAGCATTGGGAATTGTGGATTTTAGTAGCTTTGCCATGTATCATAATTGTAGAATGCAAGCAGTGAGGACTATACGGATGATAATCAGTTGGTGCGAGATCCCAGCCCTGGAAGAATTATGGTTAATTTCAGTGGGGTTCATTCCTTCTCTTTATAGCAGGATACTTTTGTTTAGTATATTTTATGCTTATGTTTGCATGATCTGCTCCTGCAGCCCTTATTCTCCCAACAGTACATTTTTCTATGAGCAGATTACAGAACCACCCCTCTACTTGATGAAACACAGAAAGCCCAAAGTGCAAGTTGTAAAATCCAAGGCCTGGATAGAGCCACACTTTAGGAGGAGTTGGGAGGGCCACTTTGTGTATGGTGTGCGTTACAGACATACAGTCTATGCACAATATAGTTACACGTGTATGTAACTTTTTGGGGCTGTTACTTACATTGATTTGAAGATGGTTGTCATTCAATTTAAGTAACAGTGTGGGTGGTGGGGAATGCACAGGCAGCTTCTGTGTGTCTGCGAGCAGTGTATTCCTCTTCCTCTCCTTGTGCAGTAACCCAACATCGAAACCTGGCAATTCCTGAGTGAGTGGCTGATGCAGTGAAGTGTTCTGTGCTAGATATGAGTAGAAGCCAAGCAAAAGCACTTCACTACATTTTTACACCTTTCCTGTCAACAAATATTGTACAGACAAGTTTAGGTACAGCAGAGACTGGTGGCCAGGTGGTGAATTCCAAAACAGCTCAAGTTTTGAATGCCTTGGGGGAGAGAACTTGACTGAGCAGAAGAGAGATGGCTGTAATTTCTCAGGCAAAGCATTAGCTGCCAGAGATGAGCTTCTGAGATATTTGGCTGTTTATTTTATTGAAATAGTTATGTCTAATAAAAAGTTGACTCTTAACCACTTTGCATCTAACTATGTGACACTGGGTGCCACCCCTTCACAATTCCAAAACCTCAAAATCAGTCTCCATGTTTTTCTGAGAAGTAGCTTTATGGGAGGATGTTTTTCTGAGAACTAAAAAGTAATGAGGAAAAAAAAAAAAAAAAAACACCAAAAAAACACTCTTGTAGGTTTCCTTTCAGTCTTATCTGTAGAGCAGCTTTATGCTAAACAGAACAGTACAAATGTTTGATGCTTTCTCAGATCCTCCTCTAATTCATTTTTTAAATGTCATTTTCTTACCATGTGCCAGCTAGCTTACAAATCGCTTGGTTAGCCAAATGTCATCTGTGTCCCACAGTATGAAGTGTACTTACGTATTTAAAAAGTGGGGAGGTGAGGAAGAGTAGCTGCTTTGCCTTTTACTCTATTGGAGAAGTACTTGAAATTCCTCACATTCTTCTCCTGTTAACAGTATGTTTACTTTTCATCACTGGGTTATTAGGATTAACAAAAGTCATTGCTTCAAGCTCATTTAATTTGAATTTAGTGAAAGCAAACTACCTCCTGCAGACTGTAGGAAACATTCTTCTGCCCACAGAAATGTATTCATTTGCAAAAAGCAGCCACCAAAAAATGTGAGACCTGAGGACCACTTCCACCCCAATGTTCAACATCACTGTGCATGCACTGCATTCTAATGAAGTACCTTATGTTGCAAATTCCAGGACAGTTTGAATAATCTGACAGTCTAATTAACATTTCAGTCTCTCTATCAAACATTTGCTTTCACTGCCAAGTGGCTTTTTCTGTATATCTGTATATACTTTCTAGAGCGTGGGGTTGCAGATTGCATGCACTAGTTCAAAAACATCATTTACCCAAGAAATTAGACAGCTTTCTAGTGCATTTCTGCATCTGTAGTAGAGCTTGTTTTAATTTTAAAAGAATTTAAGCTTTTCAAAATTGAAAGTTTTCACAGAAAGCTCTTGCATATGCTGCATTTAAGTCTGTTGCCTATCAGGATGTTCTACTAAGAGTAGTTAGGTAAATATTTCTTTATTAAATGATTAATTCCATAAATAAATTCTTTTAATTCATTGAATATAAAATTAAAATCATTTACAACTTATTCCAGTATTACAGGGGCTGGAAGGGGTAAAAAAAAACCTCAAAGAAAAACACAAAAAGCTACAGTTTGATAAATAAAATACTCAGCTTTAAAACAACTGATTTCTGTTTGCCATTAAACTAGTTGGTACATAATAGCTGCCACTGTGAACACCCCACAAGTGCCCACCTCAGGAAGGAATGTAACTTCCACTTTGGTTGGGAAAGGGTGAAAGAAAAATGGAAGGAAGGGGAAGAAGCATAGTGTTAAATTGAACAGGATAGAAAGTTTTCATAACCGGAACAAAACATTTATCTGATCACTTACAAACAGAAAACAGTATATAATTAGGTAAGGTGCTCCAAAAAGAAGCGGTAAAGTTGCTCCAGTACTATGAAGCTTTAAGTATGCTTAAATCTGTTGCGTTAGTGTCCAGTTGCACAGTGCACTCTTGTAACATCTCAATGTTGCCCCCAAATGGGCAAGGCACCATTCCCATCAAAGGTCCTTTCTCCGTGGCTGATTACTTCAAAATTCTGTTTAGCATCCCACCCCCAACACAACTTAGTCCCTAAATTTGTGAATGTCATTGACTAATCTGTAGTAGGGATAAGCTTCATTTGCATGCGGACAGTTGTAGTTGCACCGGCAGGACTGGATCATCATGACGCTCTTGGTGAAGGTTTCCCCATCATCGCAGCGGAACCTGATCTTGACAGTCCTGGTCTGCTGGGGCGTACAGCACCTGCCATCCACGCAGGAGCCGCAGTACTTGGGGCGGTACTTCTTCACACTGGAACATCCGGCATAAGTAAACTTCACTGGGGATGGGGACTTCTTAGTCTTGGTGCATTTTTTTCCCTTCTGTAAAGGAGAGGCAACGATGTTATTAGCAGGAGATTCTTCTCCAGCCTTCACCCTCTACCCAAAGCAGTTTGGAAAGAAGAGGAGCACTAAAGAGTCTGTATTTACCTTTAGGGAGGCATAGCTAGACTGGCCACATGGCCTCACTTCACATATCCTGGTCTCTTTGATGAGCTTGCAGTCAGGATTGTCGTTGGTAACCCTTGTGGAGATGCCAGTTCCACACGTCTTTGAGCACTGGGACCAGGAGGTTGTTTGCACAATGCATTTAGGATTCTCAAAAGCTCGGCTTTGTGGCTCGGATCCAAAAACTGGAAAAGAAGAGAAGGGCTTAGCCTAAATATGTTCTCTCACTGCGTTTACTTTCTTTCCACTGGGCTCTAAGGAGCCGTGTGGCCATCTTCCCGCCTCCTCCCCTTAACTGCTGCTGTCACACAGATTAGCCCATACTCACCAGGTAGCATTTTCAGGCCTCCTTTCACAATGGCAATCAGCTCATTGTTCCTGGTTAGTTCGCCTTCAGAATCATCCAGGCCGAACTCTTTGCTGAAGAAGCCCTCCAGCTCATCCAGCGCGTCCTTGCTTTCATCGCAGACCCACTCTTCGCAGCACTGCCCGGGGACTTTGACCAGCCTGGGGCTGGGACAGCCCAGGTTCGGAAGGGAGAGCTCCTGCGGGCAGAGCGGGATGCAGCCCACAGCTCCATCTATGCACGTACACTGGTGTTTACAGTTCGGCTGGAAGCTTTCGCCGTTCTGGTAGATTTTGGAGTTGTATTCACACGGTCTGCCCTCGGACTGCGCTGCAGAGATCAACAGAGAGGGAAAGGAGGAAAGTCAGCGGCGGGAGTCGCTGGTTTAAGCGCAGGTATTTGCTGGTCTGTTAAATTCAATTTACGGCGGAGCTCCCTACAATCCCCCGGAGACGCGGGGCCAGAACAATAAGTTAGTCAGGAATCACTTTTCCTTATGTGCGTTTAGCGGAGCCCAGACATACTGAATCGCATTCCAGGCCGCTGAAGTCATGTGCCTTTCTGCCAAGCTACCAACAACAAAGCATAACCATACATGGACTCGAAATTACTAAACTTCGGCGCTACGGGGACCGGGGCTTTTCCCCGAGGGAGGCGGGGGGCAAGCCGCTTACCTCTGCAGATGCCCTTCAGCGCGGCGGGGCTGGCGCCGAAGTTGCACTCCAGCCCCTTGGTGTGGTCGCAGGGCTGCGCCCGGCTGCAGTCCTCGTTCAGCTGCTTGGCGCAGACCTTGCAGCAGCCGCAGCCGTCGGGCACCAGCCCCACGCCCGGGGCGCACTGCGGCACGGCCGCCGGGCACTGGCAGACGGCGGGGCAGGGCGAGCCCAGAGCCTGCGGAGCGGAGCAGAGCGGCGGCCGATGAGCGCCGGGAGCGGAGCGGAGCACCCCCCCGCCGCCTCCCTCCTCCTCC